AACATTCTAGGAATAATTTTCCTTTGAAAAAATGTGTTTTTCCAACTTTCCTCTTATTGTCTCCAGACTGAAAACAAAGCACTGCGACTGAAGGACGGCATCACGGCGTCGCCGCTGGTGGAAGAGAGCGCCGCGGGTCCGGGCTTCCCCTTGGCCCTCCAGAGTTTCGAGACCACGGACGGGCGCCTCACGTGGAACTACTTCGACGAGGCTGGGTACATAGCCCGCGGTGGCCTGCGCCAAGGGGAGGACCCCTACATCCGGAACAGGTTCAACCAGGAGGCCAGCGACAGCCTGCCCAGCAACCGGGAGATTCCGGATACCAGGAACGCCATGTGAGTAGCGCTGTCTTGTTTTTTAGTAGGTCTCTAAATGAAATGTTTAAGACTTTTTGTCGCCTTATTAGAGCTAAAAAATTTAGAAAGACTAGAACGTGAGTATAGAATACTCTATATTTCTATATAGTCCAGTCACTGTAGGCGAAAATAAGGTAAAAGCTCCCAGTTTCTTCGGATAGCATGGATTTTCCTGAAAATTTGCGTACAAGCTCATCTGACCCCCCACTTCAAAAGTCTAGATGTGTGCTGTTTTTATTTGGGGGTGAAAATTACCCTTGTACGAAAAAAATGCGAAAATCGCAGATTTACTTATTTTAAAGATTCAATTCATGTTCAAATATGTTGGATAAAGTTCCTTTCGTGTTTTTTAATATTATTTATGAAATTTAATTACTTTTCAACCCCTAAAAATCCTTAAAAACTACCCTTCCATGGCCACAACAATAGGAAAAAAGTTTTTAACATTTTGAAATATTCTTTTGGTGCATTTACAATGTATTGCACATCTTTTGTTATTCATTAGAAAGTTTACGACTCATTACAAAGTTGCAACCCTTAAAAACCATCCCTTATAATAAAATAAACAAAAAAACATTATTGCCAGCTTGAGATGTTTTAATGGTATGCAAATGTTGAATTATAAACTTTTTATTGGTTTTCAAATGATCTTATGATATATTGCAACTTTTCAGCCACCCAAAAAACCCTTATGGAAGGCCTACCCCTCATAAAAATCCCTACCCCTTATAGAAAAATTTTCTAAAAATTATATACGAGTATGATGATATAATTATTTTTTTTTTTAATTTTATTGAATCTTAATATTTTTTTATTAAATTAATATCAAATAAAAAAAATTTTATATAAATTATAAATGGATACGTGTGTGTATGTATATTATTAAAATACTCAAATCATAATACATAATTTCCCAGCACCGAAAATTTTACCGAAAAAATTCGATTAATTTTTGTAATTTTGTAGTTCTGTGATTTGCAGTTTTTTTTGAGCCCTTCGTTTTTTAGATTTGTAAGTTAAAAAAGCTCAGGAAAGGCAGTCTCGGAGCTTAGTTTTGAGCTTCTAACTTTTTTTATAACTTTGTTAGTTTTTGAAATATGGCGATTTTTTTTTAAAATTTAAAAATTTTATTCATAAGTAAATGAATTTTTTTTTTTAAATTTACGCTTCTACTCGTTCAAATTCCCAGAATCTACTGTTAATACATAAATAAAATAATTTGCAGAAGGAATACGTTTAATTTTTTTTCCGTCAAGTCATTAATTTTAATACCGTTTTTTTTCTCAAAAATCAAGTCAATAATTTTATTTTGATTGTAACTTCATTAGTTTTCATGCTAACGACTTCTACTACCACTCAATTTAAAGGTCTTTTCAAGAACTTTAATAAGTGTTATTTAAGTTTACCACGAAAATCCTTTAATTTTTCCGCTACAGGACGTTGAACGTTTTGATTATAGCTATCTTCGAAATTGACTTCAACTTCAGGGAGTCATAACTCGGGTTCTATACCATCTACAAAAATTAAAAAAGCAATCTCTTTGCTATTTAATTACCTTCATTTTTGCTCATGATCATTTTTTTGATAAAACTTGTAGTTTTTGCGATATTCGCGAACAATGGCTCAAAAACATGCATTTTTTTATCTAAAAACGAACATGTTTAGGCGCAAATAATTCAAAAAGTATTGACTACAAAAAATTCTTATAGGACATTTTTTCCTTAGAATTCATCCCTCTATCCAATCGTGAGGTTATTTTTAATAAAAAATTTCCCACCCTCCAGAAGGGGTGGCATCCACCCCTAGGGTAAAAGCACACATCGGCACTATATAACTTTTGTTTCTTGGGCTATTCCCTCGCTACAGTTCAAATTTCACGTCAATCCAGTAAATCCGAAAAAATTGGTAGCAAAAATGCTACAGTGACTGGACTATAAACAATCATTAAGAATTGGCAGGTACAATGACTTAAAGATCAAACTGAAATTACTGCACAATCTACAAAATCAGTGACTACCTACTAGCACTTTGTTAAGTATTGTAATATGGGTTGCAAGATAACGTAGACATTTAAAAAATATTTTTTTGTACCCAAACCGCTCATTTAATCAAATTTCTATAAGAGGCCCAAAAACTTCCAAATGGTGTCGTATATCAAATAAAAAATAATTGTCATTATTGCCCGAAAGAGGAAAAAGTTATGAACGGTTTTTATCACCATACATCAATTTTGTAGGAGTTGGGAGTTTTAAAAAACACTATGTATAAAACCAAAATTTGTAGATTCAAAGCAAAAGTCCACACCTCTAAAACAATCAAAATCGATTAATACATATTCGAGTTATTTACAAAATTCAAAAAATTTCACGAACTGTGAAGCCATCTAGTGGCCAAACGAAGCGATTTCGGATATAGGTGAATTAGCCTAAATCTGCCTATTTTGAGTCCACTAATCTGCGGTCTTCCGTTGTACACGCTATTCTGGGACATCCTGTATATTAAACAGTAATAATTGATTATGATGACATCGTCAATTTATCAACACACAGTTTTGCTGGTATATCATAATTAAACGCTAATTAATTCCCATTAGAGCCAGGTAATTGTAATTAGGCAAATTAAGTCAATTAAGGCGCTTATCCTAATTATAAGATTATACGCGGTTAAAAAGATTGTACGCTAAAAATACACTTCCTTAACAAACCCCGCAATTAACCTGGGCATTTTGTTTTTTTCTATCAAACTATTAGACGCTGGGGATCGTTAACTCTGCCAGACCAGGGACTGTTGTTCGCTCGGAATTCAGGCTAATTGTTCCTTTCTCCGCGAGGCGCCCACGAAGATCGCCTCGACGGACTTTTTGAGTCGCTTTGCGTTTATTGTGGTGCGAATAAAGCCTGGCTGGGGGCGGTATGCGCCTTTCCAATTATGAGGTTGCAACATAGACACACTGCGGCGTTATGGATGTAATCGCGGATCGGACTTGCGTAAGAATTGCAATTTGCCGAGACTTAGTTGAACGGCAGGTCGTTCGTTTAAAAATGGGGGTGTTAATTGCGGCATAGGGGTGAATAAACTCGTGGACGAATGAGTCTATTGAATTATTAAGGAATAGTGGTTGTCGCACGAAAATAATCGCGGGTTATGCATTGTTATAAATAATTTCTTTAAAAAAAAGTTGCGTAAAATTTTCAAGACGTGTTTCGACATTTTTCCGATTTCGGGCAAAAAAAAGAGGCGCAAAATATTGAATTTGGGTAATCACCTGATTGATTGTGCCAAACAAATCAGTGCAAATTCACACTTATTTGTTTATTTACATCGAAATTGAATTAAAATATTTTCAAGTTTGTAACTTCATCGCTAGGAGGCGCAACTGCTACAGTGTTACAGAAAATTGTCGTTTTCTCGAAATTTCGCTTATATAACCTAAGTTGAAAATACACATTTCAAATACACTGTTAAACCCTTCACATGTTTTGTCTGGACTTTTTTTTTTGTTATTGCCATAGCAACGCCAGTATGAAGGACGCCATCTCGAAATTTTTAAATTCTCATAACTTCTAAATGCCTTAATCGATTTCAAGAAACGACGGCTCATTTTAAAGAACTATTAATAAAATTTATTTTTATGATATAGGAATAAAAATATTATGTTCCTGCGCAACGGTAGACGACGCTAATCAGAAAAGTTTTATAATTATCTACGTTTTCTAAAAAAATTAAACGTAACGATATAGATTTTTTTCATGGCTTGATAGACCATTTATTAAGGAAAACAAATACACAAACCGGAGGTCGAATTCTTTTTTCGCTTTCAAGTTATTGCTAAAACAGTGAAATTGTGCTAGAACATCCTCCTTTATTTAGTTCTCTAAATAACAATGACATAATCCAAGCCAAATTAAATTGTAAAATTATACCAAGCTTATCTTTAAAAAAAGTACTTGCTATATTTTGAAATTTTTTTGATAACTGCAATGTTTCATTTTTTTTGTTAATTTCAAATATCTGAGTATGTATAAAGATTATTGTTTCTATAACGAAGCAGGCTATGCCCTATGAAAATAGACAACTGAAAAATTATGCCAAACGAAATGTGACAGCTCTTGCTACGTGCAAAATTAGTGTTACTTGTGTTGGAAAGGTACTTGTGAACCAGGAAAATGCCTTTTGCGAATGTGGAAGCGTATGAAATGTTGAAAGAACAAGAAAGAAACACCAAAACTTCCACGAAAGGTTTTATTAACAATAAAAACAAAACAAACAAACAAAATAACGACCAACGGGCTCGAACAACATTATTAATTAATTTATTGACACGCGACACGAGATTCAGGGAATGTGCGATTCGTAGCAAAATTTGGAATGACTTTATCCATTATTAAATTAACCCGAGACTCTAAAACTAAGTCGACTGCTCAATGTGGAACCCAAGCAAAAACTGCCTTTTTTTCGAGATCTCCTAAATTCGACACCTCGCTTCGACACGCCCATTTCTTGGGTCCAGACGTTTATGTTCTTATCTTACTGGCGGGAACCCTGAATATCGGGACGCTTTGGCATAACTATGCCATGTTAATA